AATGTAAGGATAATTAACCTCGCTAGTAATTCCTTGAGCTTAGGGATATCTGGGTTGAAGAAATTCTGGTTGCAGCTAATGAATTGGTCAGCTCAGGGATACTATGAAGTGAATAAGATGTCATATGCATAGGTTAATGAGGAAACATGCTATGTTTTAACACATTGAACGTAACATTTAGAAATGCGATGAGTGTAAGCCATGCATTATTTTCCATGCATCTGTACTTCTGATAACCAAGAATAAATTATATTTAACTTTTTAGCGACATGAAATAAGAACAAAGAAAATATAAAGTCAAAGTAGAAGGCTAAATGAAAAAGTGTTTTAAAAAAAAAGGTGCTGGGTTGATTTTCTTTTTTTTGTCAAACCTACTAGATGGTAATTTCTCATGTATAAAATTCTTATATGTCACATATACATGAAAGACAACATTAATCCTTAATGAGGGTATCAATGCCTGCATGTAAAAAAAGAATAACATAGGATCTCAACGTCAAAAATGTAACTTTTACTCGAAATGGGGGGGGGACAAGACTTTGGTTTATATGACACATTCAATCTCGGTACCAGTGTTGGGGTCCAATAAAAAAATGGATCTGTAGGGAACGAAAAAGAAAACAAAATGAAATTCTCAGTCACTGCGGCGGTTATGATTAAAAATAGTAAAACAAATTGACATTCATGGTCATACTATAAAAGGAATGAACAAAACTATCTAATTTCACATAAAGGATAAAAACAAAAAAAATTGGTGAGAAAGGTTGATCCAAAACGATAAACTGTTTCCTAATATCAAGAAAGGAAATTACCTGCACAGTTTTCCGCAGTTTTTTTTACTAGTAAATGGGAGCCTGCCTCTGAGATATTATTAGTGTTCTAATAGACAGGCTAAGACTATTGTGCTTGGCGATGGTCCAGTGGCAATCTGTGTTAAGCCCGTGGGCATTGATTAATGGAACACTCAAAATGATTTCGTTAATAGAGTGGTTATTAATAAAACAAAAATTATGAAGACAAAATTAACCTTTAGAAACTTTGACACGTGCTAGATTGGCCACAACAATAATAGGAACCTCCAAATGTGGCCCCATAACTTTCTCTAGCATCATTAGCACATTCTCCCCATAAAATGCAATCTACGTTGTTGTCACTGCGAGAAATGAGAAAGATTGAAGAACAATTAATTATATGATATTTGAGAAGAAAGATCAAATAGGATAAACATACTATTGATAAACTATTCCAAACTGTAGTTTTGTGATATGCAAAACCATTGCTGTTGAATTGGCTAAGCGCACCAAAATATTTGACATAAACTACAATGTCTGTGGCAGAAGCAGGCATTCATTAGAAATCATCAACTTATGATGACACCATAGTTTGTAAACAATTACTGAATGTTAAAATTTTAAGGTAAGAGTTTCCAACCTATGAGCTGATTCGATGACTCTTTTTTCTGCAAAACTTCTGTTATTGGGGTGAAGGTTGCAGGTGAACTGGGATGTTCGTAGAGCATGGTTTGATTGCTTTCCTCAAGTGGAAGCTTAAAAGTATATCTATGGGTCGCAGCACGATGTTGCAGAGTATTTTCAGAAACCACGAAATTTCAATTGATAACAATTTCCCTCGATAAGCATAGTGTCAAACTTCCGGACAAGTGCATTAGACAGTATAGTAGCTTGAATTTTACTGCCCTAAACAAAAGAAATACATAGTTGGTAAATTTATTAGAGTAACAACGACAACATATAAAAGATAAATAATCAAAATATATGCTTTGACCTTTTCATCATGGAGACCATGCTAATACCAAAGGGATCAGAGGTGGTTTTACTTTTAGTAAGGACCACTTGTAGAGTACTTTAACCCTAATTTTCATGTTTCCTTGCTCTAGTCGATGTCATTAATCATATCATAAGAAATTTGCTTCATTTTTTACAATCGTGCCTGGAATCTGTCGATACATATGATGCTCCTGAAAAATTTATTTTAGTAGAAGGATAGAAACATAGTAAAAGAGAACTTTAAATTATAATAAAAGATGCAACATAAAATACACACAAATCCTCAATGGAAAAGGAAGCAAATTATATCTGGAATAATTAATAACTTGCGGCACAGGTATATTAGTAAGACTGAATGACGTCGGAGAAAATGTCAGAGATACAAGGATTGGAATCAAACATCAATAGATTAGCAACGAAAAAGGTAGTCAAACAAGCAAATGCTAAAGAATAATAAGAAAAAATTCATTTCAAATCAAAAGGACCAAATTCAATTTAAGAATGTGTTTTCCGGTATCATGACGTCATCTCGCACTGTTATATTGTGTATAAGTTTAAAAAATATTATTGGCCTTATTTTTGGGCCATGGACACAATTTACTTCTTGAAGATAAACACAGGGAGATGGTTGCTGGAAAACATGCACGCACACAAGTTTGAAACCAAAAAAATTTGTCCAATAATTCTTAAGAACCACAGAATTATTATGACAATAATAAACACCGAAGGTGGTGGAAAAATAAAATGAGGAAGAGATAACCTGTTTAATTGAAAGAGGGACCAGTGGTTAATACCTACTTAGACCTGGGAAATTACATGCGGATATGAGGTTATAGGGAAAGGTTGAAGAAACATACTTATTTACACACATGAGACAACGCTTATTTTGTTGGAAAATGGGAGAGAATAATTTGTTCGAGAACCTTCTCAAAGGACCTAGATAAATTATAAATGTAACTACATTTCTATGGACTTTTAACTTATATTTATGAAGCTACTATACGCTTCCAGAACATTTTAAAAGGATCGAGAGATGTCCAGTGAGCTACTTTACATCAAGAAAATGAAAGAACTGACAGCTCCTGCAGCGATTGAGTATCAAATGGATAAATTAGTTAGAGAAGTGAAAATAGTAATGTGGTTTAGTTAGGTAATGAGTCATTTTCTACCGCAAAAAAATAATATTTGGTTTTAGTTAACACTTCTATTTGGTATAACACTGCTACTTTAGTTACAAGAAAACAGTTTTTCGGGAAGAACTTTGTGTCCGTGCTATTCTCAGTTCTCTAATTAAATTGTCCTGATAATTACGATATGAGATATTTGTTATGTAGTATGAGAAGAAAACAAAAAAAAATTAATTATTCACCCACTGGGTCTACCTCAAACATTGAATGCAACAAAGGAAAAAATAAAGTTTATATTAAACAATACATAAGGAAAAGTTAGGAATATACAGATAAAGTTAGAAAAGGAAGTCTGCAAATGCTTAGTTGGACTAAGCATATGATTGGCATTCTGTTTACATATATCAGTTGAAAATATAGTGGCCAAAGAATACAAACCTAAACATACAAGCCTTGAAAGGACATCATGGAGTTGGTTGCTCATCCATATATGTTTTTTCCATAGATATACCAAACAAGAGGAAGACAAAAAATTGGAGTGAGAAGATGTCAGCAGAAAGACTAATCCATAAAAAACAAAAATAGATGGATCGAAGGTGTACCTACTAAAAATCATCCACCGATTAAGTTCATCTTTCACCGGGATAAACAATTGACCTAGCAAATTCAGAATAATCACAGAGGGCAGGAGAAAAAGTTGACACAAAAAGAGGTATCTTGCAGGCCCGACAAATTGCTAGTCTGAAAAAAAACCCTCACTTTGGTTTTTTGGATTAAATATATGTGCGTCCTAAATAAAATATTCACACCACAATTAACACAAATGAAATATTACAAATGATTTAAAAGGCAGAAATAAAAAAATTAATAATGTTGATTGTTGAATAATTAAAAAAAGGAGAAGGAAAACTTTTTTTTTAATGCCTTTTACTGTGCAGTTGAGTAGCGAACTGAAAATGTTCAATTTTGTTTGTGAAGAGATTGAAAGCATCCATTAAACTACTTACATAATTTGCAAGTACAAGAATATCAAGTAGTTCGCACTTTTGCCAAGAAACAATGCAAACGATGTAGCAGGTTCTGGTTTTTGTACAGTGCCATTTCCACCAGGTTTTAAATTACCTAATATATTTCTTGAAAATATTCACTAATTACCTGTTTGGATTAAAATTGGGCATAATGTATTTAAAAAAATCAAGTGATAAATTTTGCTCACATTTGATTATATGACAAGGTAATAAATTCGTATACCATTGTCAAAACATTTATTTTAATAGCATTGAAAATGTTTAGATAATTTTTTTGAAAATAATTTTAATTGTATAAATCAGTACAAAGCTCTATATAATTATGTTCATTCAACTGGGAAACACAAAAAATACAAGACTAAACTTAATAAAACACTACAAAGGACATTGGGAAACACTAAAAATTAGAAGACATTATTTTGTCAACTAAATAAAGTATTATCAATTCATTCAGTTGGCATGCAATAAAAGCATTCGTCGGTTTTATAATAGCCATTACATAAAAAAATAAAAGGGGAAATTCAAATTATCAACGAATTAAATACATTGCATTGCTTCAATTTCTAATTTCATAAAGAATGTATCCAAGCAACGTTGTCGTTTCCCCAAATTGTGAAGAATTGATGTATAATTCATTAATATACAACTAAGTTAACGTAAAATTTCACATAATAAAAAATGAATTTGCTACAACCTACCGCTCTATATGCTTCAAAAGCTAATACATTTCTAGGGAAAAAAAAAAATCACATATAAATATAGGTTATTAAATCTATTTTACACCCTAACAACGTCTCACTAAAAAAAAAAACAATCTTTTGTAAATTGTATGCATTTATTATTCCAATGATATTAAAATTTATAAAAGATAGAATAAATGGTTGTGGCTAATTGGGACAAAGCATAATTAATGAAATTTATTTTATCACATATTCTCATATATATCTACATTAATTATTATTTTTTTCAGTGAGTCATAATGTACAATGAAGAGAGCACTGTAAATTATTATTCTGATACCCAACACATATATAAAACTTTTAGATTGAGAGGTAATATGAGGTGGTAGATTTTAACTGCATAAAGAGCCAATACACGCACACTATGGTGTTAATACATTGACCACAAAATAGCCACTAATGATAGTGGGAAAAAAATTTAGAATAAATAATCCAATAGTATTAACTGACACAAGTTACAGATATCTCCTTCACTGAGAAAAAATAACACGAGAAATTGAACGTCATTAATTTGATAGAAACCTAAAGCAACAGTAATGGGAAAAAAATGACGATACAGCCTGCAATTCATTCTATCATCCTTGGCGTCCGATTAGCACAATATTGAATCTAACATGGAAAAGCACTATACAAAATTGGTAAAAAAAATTAAAATGTTATAAGCCAACAATATTACAAATACTGGGGAATGGTTTTCCAGGCTCCCCATCAGGATCAATAGATATGAACACTATGCAATTATAGAAAGTTTCCAACTGAATAGAAGGCCTTTTGTAATATACAAATGAGGGAAAAATCAGAAAGAAAGAAATAAAGTGTAAAGAATGGTTATTTAAAATTTAAGGCAATAACAAATTTGAAATCCGACAGAATTCTATGTAAATCTCAACGGGGATATTAAATCAGGCAAGGAACGAGGGATATGAAGAGGAATCGAAGCAATGCAGCCTACAAGATGAGCTAAAAAGACAGGCATTACAAAAAAAAAATGCTATTGGTTAATATTAATACTGTTGAAAAATGAGGCAGTTAAAAAATGATATTTTCACTAGTACAAAAGATGAAATTCAAGGGGTACTTCTTACATCGGTTGAAAGGCAAACGATGTAGAAAGTTAAGGCGGTGGCATTTTTGTAATTTTGGCAATGCGTATTATAGTTTTTACACTGGGTGAAAAGGCAACCGATGTTAAAAATAATTTCTACACCGAGTGCATGGACAGTCGTTGTAGAAGAAACTAAGTTTTCTACATCGGGTGCCAGCAACCCGCTGTAGAAAATAGATTTTCTACAGTGGGTGGCGTTCACCCGCTATAGAAAACATGGTTTTCTACAGCGGGTGCACGAACACCCGCTATAGAAAATCACTTTCTACAGCGGGTGAGAGGTGACTCGCTGTAGAAAGTGGTTCAAATTTTTTTTAACTTTTTAATGCGTGCTTCTCCTTCCTTATTTTCGTGCCTTCAGAACATTCTTTTGTGCTTCCCTCCCTCGTCCCCCTTCCCATACTCCCGTCCTCGACTCTCGCCCCCCCCCCGCCCCCCATCCCCGATCCCACCGCCCCTTTCCCCACCCCCCTTGGCCCCTCCCCCTTCCCTAGCCCCCCCTCCCTAGCCCCCGTCCCATTCCCCCTCGACCCCCAGCCCCCCCTCGGTCCCTACCCCACTCGGCCCCCCTCCCCCTCCCCAGCCCCCCCTCGCCCCCATTCCCCCTCGCCCCCTCCCCCCATCCCCACCCCCCCTTGCCCCCATTCCCCCCCTCGACCCCCACCCCCGTCCCCACCCCTTTCGCCTCCATTCCCCCCTCGGCCCCCAGCCCCCCTCGGTCCCCACCCCCTCCCCCGTCCCCAACCACCCCCTCGCCCCCCCCTCCCCCATCCCATCCCCATCCCCACACCCCTCCCCCTGCGGCTGCCCCTCCCCCCTTCTGCTGCCATTTCCTCCCCCTGCCTCTACCGCCTCCTCCTCCTCCTCCTGCTTGCTCCTCCTCTTGTTACTGTCGCCACTTTTAATTGATTAGATATGGCTCTTAATTTTTATAAAGATAATTTTTTATTTGATTGTATTTTTTTGTTAATTTATTAAGCTGATATGTGTATATATATGATAATAATGATACTGATTATTGTTAGGAGTGCTGTTAGTGGATTTATAAATCCTTAAGTTGTTGCATGTGATCTTTAATTTTATTTAAAATTATCAATTTTCTCTATTAAAATTTTTTAAAAGTCTTGGGAGGTCCAATTTTTAGGGGAGACTCTGTCGAAAATTTTCAAAATTCATTCTTTTCCCTTGAATTGCTTAAATTTAGTTTTTAAGAAGGCCTCATCAAGTTGTTTGCATGTGGTGATTTTTAAGAAGGTCCAATTTTTAACATGAGTATGTTCTTTAGGAGTTAACATATGGATCGTACTTGGATGAATGCTAGACGAACGAGTGATGAGTATGATAATGGGGTGAAGGAATTTTTAGAATTTGCTAAGAAAAATGCTGTTGACAATAGTGCAAGGTTCTATTGTCCTTATATTAATTGCTTGAATGAGAGGAGATTAGGTGCTACCGAAATAAGAGAGCACTTGATTTGTGATGGGATTTGCAAGAATTATACAGTATGGATTTGGCATGGTGAACGATTGAAAAATTATAATAACACGTCTCAATATGTGGAAATTGATAATCTAGATGATGAAATAGATATGAATAAAGATCGGCTAGAGGACATGATCCGTAATGTAGGGGAAGAAGCTTTTGAATGAGCACATGTGTATGATAACTTGTGCACTGATGCGGAGAAGCCTCTATACCTGGGGTGCACTGATTTTAGTTTGTTATCTGGAGTGTTAAAACTGGTTACCTTAAAGGCAAGAGCTGGGTGGAGTGACCAAAGTTTCACTTGGTTGCTAGAGTTACTTCAAATAATGTTGCCGAAAGGCAATGTACTACCAAATCGTTATTATGATGCCAAGAAGATCTTATGTCCAATGGGTATGAAGTATAAAAAATACATGCATGCCCTAATGATTGTGTGTTGTACAGAAAAGAGCTTGAAGGGGAGAAGAAGTGTTCGAAATGTGAGGCACCACGGTACAAAGAGAAGGGGGCTCCTGCAAAGGTCTTATGGTATCTTTCAATTCTACCAAGGTTCAAGCGCTTGTTTGCAAATACTAATGATGCGAAGAACTTGATGTGGCATGCAAATGAGAGGATATCTGATAGAAAACTTTGACATCCAGCTGATTCTCCTCAGTAGAAGAAAATTGATCAATTGTTTCCTAAATTTGGTAATGAGCCAAGAAACCTGAGGCTCGAACTTTCTACTGATTGAATAAATCCTTATAGTAGTCTCAGTAGTATACATAGTTCATGGCCTGTTCTTTTGGTGATTTACAACCTATCACCTCAGCTGTGCATGAAACAGAAGTACATGATGCTATCCATGTTGATTTCAAGACCAAAACAACCTGGAAATGATATTGATATTTACCTAAGACATTAATTGAAGATTTGAAAATGTTATGGGAGGTAGGTGTGGAAGTGTTTGATGCAAATCGAAAGGAAAATTTTAAGTTACATGCTATGATCTTTTGTACTATAAATGATTTTCCTGCATATGGGGTCTGGTTATAGTGTGAAAGGTCATAAAGCTTGTCCAATTTGTGAAGAAAGCACAAACTATCATCAACTTCAACATGGAAGGAAGACAGTCTACCTTGGCAATCGAAGGTTTCTTAGACGAGATCACCCTTATCGTAAATTAAAGAAAGCTTTTCATGGTCACCAAGAGCACAATCATGCTCTAGATGCTTTGACTAGGGATCAAGTGTTTGAACGAGTGAAAGATATCAATATTGTCTTCGGTAAGACTAAAAAGAACATTGATGCAAAAAACATATGGAAAAAAAGGTCTATCTTTTTTGACCTTCCATATTGGCACAATCTTGAAGTGAAGCACTGTATTGATGTTATGCACGTGGAGAAAAATGTGTGTGATAGTATTATTGGAATGCTTCTGAACATACCAGGAAAGACCAAGGACGGTGTGAATGCAAGATTGGATTTGAAAGAAATTGGAATACGAGAGGATTTACACCCGAGACCAAAAGGTAAGCGAACTTATTGTCCCCCAGCCTCTCATACATTGTGCAAGTCTGAGAAAATAAATTTTTGTGAGTGTTTACATGGAATTAAAGTTCCTTCAGGGTATTCTTCAAACATTGGAAAGCTTGTGTCTGTGAAAGAGTTGAAACTGGTAGGCTTAAAGTCTCATGATTGCCATGTCTTGATGCAACAACTATTACCTTTAGCTATTCGAGGTATATTGAAAGAAGATTTAATACTTACAATAACTAGACTCTGTTTCTTTTTCAATGCTTTATGCAGTAAAGTTATAGATCCCTGTAAACTAGAAGAGTTAGAACAAGAAGCTTGTATGATTTTGTGCCAAATTGAGATGCACTTTCTTCCTACTTTTTTTGATATTATGGTTACCTAATAGTGCATCTAGTGAGGGAGGTAAAATTGTGTGGCCCTGTTTATTTACGATGGATGTATCTAGTTGAGAGATACATGAAAATTCTAAAAGGGTATGTCAAGAATCCATATCAACCTGAAGCATCGATAGTTGAAAAATATGTTGCCGAAGAAGCCATGGAATTTTGTTCTCATTACTTGTCAAGTACAGAATCAATTGGACTTCCTAAATCTCATCGTGAGAAGAGGCAATTAGGTCAAGGCACACGTGGAGTATCAGTAAAGAGCATGAGTCATAATGAATTACAAGAAGTACATTTATATATCTTGAATAATATTTATGAAGTTAAAGAATACATTTCTTCTCACAAAGAACTTCTAAAGACAGAAAATTATCGAATGAGAATGACTGAACAAAGGTTGTTGAAAGAGCATAATAAGACTTTTATAGATTGGTTCAAGCAGAAAGTTTTGAATGAAAGTAGCATTTCTGATACAATTAAATGGTTAGCAGGAGGTCTTAACTTTGATGTTATATGTTGGAGTGCGTATGATATTAATGGGTATTCTTTCTACACAAAGTCCTTGGATGAAAAGAGTACAGTGCAAAATAGTAGGGTTATGATAGTGGCTGAAGCCGTTCACTTCTCTAGATCAAAAGATAAGAAACCTAAACTAGCAGCAAGGACTTATTTTGGGGTTATTGAAGAGATTTGGGAGGTTGATTATACAAAATTTAGAGTTCCTGTTTTCAAATGCAAATGGGTTGACATCAACAATGTCTCTGATGATAAGTTAGGATTTACAATGGTTGATCTTAAAAAACTAACTTATGGGGATGAGCCATTTATCATGGCAGACCAAGCTAAACAAGTTTTCTATGTGACAGATCCAGAAAATAAAAATTGGTCAATAGCACTGAAAGGAAAAATGGTGATTAATAGTGATGATAATCAAGAATCAAGCTTTGATATTTCTGAAACCCCTACCTTCTCATCAGGGCTACCAATTTTGAATGTAGTAGATGAAGTAGATGACGAACATGCTACAAGAAATGATCACCATGAAGGGATATGGGAGAATATCCCTATATGAATTTAGTTTTTAAATTAAAGTATGTTTCTTAAGTTTGATTAAATTTATATTATGTTTTGTAACTATCTTATATTTGTTTGTTTTTCTAATTAATTTAATCTATATGAATTAATAGGAACATGGAGTATCAGAGTGAACATGGTGATGACACTCAGAGCCAGCCCACTATTGGCCAGCCACTTGGTGATGACTCAAGTCAGGGTACCTTTAGTGAGAGCCAGTCTATGAAGAGAGGTAGACGTGGCACACGATTAAGAGATTTGACATTAAGTAGGAGTGCTGGGCATAGGTTACCAATCCAATTTGATCGGAGATGGAATCTGATAGGGGAATACAAGGCCAAGTTTGTTAGTTTTCTTGGTCTCCTATCTCGTACCAAGCCCCCTATTGTATTTGAGGACTGGTCTGATGTGCCAGAACGTGTGAAGGACCAGATATGGAAAAGTATTCAAGTACGTAATTAATTTATGCATATAGTTATATATTATTGTTAAATTACTAATTATCATCTTTTGTTTTCATTACAGCTCACGTACGATGTTCCTTCTAATCAAGATTGCCGACACAGGTTGATTTCCTACTATGGAATGCGTTGGAGAAATTTCAAGACTGATCTTGCTAGGAGATATATCCATATTGAGGTGCCAGAGGGTTAGGCTCCTCCTAATCCTCTCGACACATACCAGTTCCTTAATGAAGATACTTGGCAAGAATTTGTCAGGATTTGAACTTTTGAAAAAGCTTTGGTTTGTTGATTTCTAGTTAATTTAAGTTTTGTTTAGTTTTACTTCAACTATAAAATTTAAAGATAATTTTTTTAATAGGAAAAATGAGCTAAAGGGCAGGAAATTGCTCGACAGAATCAATGCCCCCACACGCTGTCTCGTGGGGGTTATGCTAGGGCTGACAATATATTGATGGTGGAGAAACAGAAGAAGAGAGAAGAAAAAGCTAAGTCTGATCCTTCCATACTCCTTTTCTCCACCATCACCCGTCTCCCGAGAGGAGAAATGGAGATATGGACACCAATACAAAAAGGAGGCAAAAAAGGCTATACAAGTGAGACGGCGTGCGAGATTGCTGAGAGGATTGTAAGTAATATTATTATTTCTTGTCCCTTTAAATTTCTATGCAATTATATATAATATTAATTAAGATTGTTATTTTTATGTTACAGGATGCTCTTAAGGAGCAACAAGCCCAAGGAAGTTTCATTCCAGAAGGCAGAAATGATATCTTGACGGTTGCAACAGGAAAACCAAAGCATCCGGGTCATGTGAGGGGCGTTGGACATGGTATGGGTATAAGAGACTACTTTGGAGCACCTTTATGCCCAAACTCAGGAGGTATAGTGACTAGAGAAGAACTTGAAACAGTGATATCCACTGTGAGACAGCAAACTAAAGAAGAGTTTGAAGCTTCATTCGAGGCCCGGCTTTTACAAATGAAAGAGCAAATGAAGGAGGAGATGATGAGCCTGATGAACTCATGACAGGAGATGCCTACTGAACCAATTCATACATCTCCTGGATTTCATAGCACAAAAGGGAGTAATGTTCTTGAGTGTGTATCAGAAGGTCCTTCTGGTGACAACATTAGTGAACCATGCGAGATGTTTCTAGAAGATCTTGATAGACGCTTGGTTACTCTTGGTAGCGTTTACAACTTGGGGTCAACCATCCACCATAAGCAAATTCAAGATCATCAAGTAAGAATGGTGGTTGAAGATTCAAAAGTGCCAAACACGTTGGTTCCATTCCCTACTGATGAGGTGAAGACTGTAGCAGAAGCTGTTAGTAATTTTATCCTATAGCCTAAGAGATTTGTGAATATGGTTCAACCTGTGGTATGTAATTTTATTATGTTGCAGTTTTCCTAAAATGTTTTCTTACTAACTATTTCTTTCTTTCTTATTATGTATAATAGCTTTTCTCGCCATATCTCCCAAAACTTCCAGAACCCTCATTAACTCCACACCAACAAATGATCTTAATGGCGTATGATCCATCATTCAAATTCAAAGATTTGGAAATGGATCCGGAGGTTGTGGGTAAGAAAGATATAATAGTGATAATTGAACAGGAAGATTTGCTTGGACTTTTGTCAAATAGTCAGCTTACCACACCACACATTGAACTATGTATGATGTAAGTTTGTTTTCTTTAATGAAATTAACTTAATTATCAAGTCTAGTGATCTAACACAATTGCATTACTGTAGGTACCTTCATCGTTTGTGCATCACATCGGGCAAAGGTGATAAGTTCGGATTCCTTTGCCCACATCACATGATAAAGAAAGGGAATACTCCAGAGTTAAGGGCCCAGTATCTCCAGCAAAGAATATGTGAAGTCAAGAAAGATGTTTTTATGGCTCCATACGTGCACTCGTAAGGATCAATTTGTAATTAATAGTTTTTTCGATGTAGATTTACTTTAACTTGTCATATTTTACAGAGACCATTGGCAATTGTTTGTTCTTTCAATGAAGAGCAACACTATTGTTTTCTTATGTTCCCTCCATTACAAACTTGGAAAGGAAATGAAGAAGACGATAGACTCGAAAGTATATTTGTGCAAAAATATTTAATATAATTTACACTAAATATTTTAGTTACTAACTTAGTGATCTTGAACATAGAGCAATGAAAACATATCAAAATGTGGTCTTGCAAAAGTACGGACATGAGCTCAAGGATCCTACATGGATCGAGCCAAAGGTAATGCTATACTTTATGAATATGTTCAATTACTAAGATTTTTTTATTGATTTCTTATAATTTATTCTTATACAGAGCCGTAGACAACCAGTGAAGATGAATTTGTACGGCCTATATGTCATGAGATATATGCTCAACATTATCACATTGGGTATGACGGAATTTACAAAAGAGGTAAATATATTTTAAGAGTTTTATTTTATTATGTTATTTGAGAGTACATAATAAGTTTTTTTACAAATTATATTTTAGATGTTTGACAATTTGGATCCATTCCCTGAAGCTGAAATTGAAGACATTCGCATATGTTGGGCAACTTATTTTGGGGAGAATTTGTGAATTTTGTAAAAAGTTTTATATAATTTAAGTTTGTTAGTTATAGATAACTTTTGACAACATTTGTTGACACAATGTTTTGGATAGCTCAATATATAGTTCTTAAATAGTTCATAGATAACTTTAAGTTTTAGATAGTTGTTTATTTAATTTTATATTGAAAATTGTAAATAAATTGAGCTATCTGATTTGGCTGTGGTAATTTTTGTGTACAGAGTAGGGTAAATTTAAAATATGGATGTTTATTTAAAAATAAAATACACTTTTTACAGCGGTTATTACCATAACCGGTGTAGAAATTAATATTCTACATCGGTTAATGAAAAAGCTGGTGTAAAATAGTAAACTTTCTACAGCGGTTAGGGTTCCAATTGGTGTAGAAAGTGTTTTTAGTTTTTAATTTTTGAATCGTTGAACTATTTTTGACATCGGTTATAGTTAGCCGATGTAGAATATGTATTTTTACAATGGTCGTATAACCGATGTTCTACATCCCCTGTAACAACACTACCTATTTAACCACTGTAAAAAGTCATTTCTAACCGCTGTAAAAAGTCATTTTTGTAGTAGTGTTTAAGACGAAAGCATATCATCTACATAAAAAATAAAGGAAATTTTCACATACCTGATAAAAATAGGCATTATATATATAATTTATGAGAATTAAACCTACAACATTAGAATCCACATTAAAAATTGGCTCACAATAGTGACATTTAGTGATTATGACACAAGAAATTAATCATATAACACCACAATCAATATAAAACATTGCAAGTGAAAAATAAACAATATGGATTGATTAACTTAATCATACCTCTCGCACCACAATGTAATCCTCTGCTCACGATGGTGCATGTCAACTACATCATAGGGATATTGTCAAAAACTTCCTGGAAGACAACATTTTGAGACATGTTGGATGATGTATTATCATCATTATGTATCAATATCCTCAACCCATGCCTAAATTTCACCCTCAATAAAGCAACATACAACTGACCATGAGTAAACAATGATTTAGGTAAAAAAAAAACCTACATGGTTGAAAGACTGTCCTTAACTCTTATTTATAGTCATTGCAAAAGAAATGAGCAAGGAAAATTGTCTTTTATTCAACTTAAAAGGCAACCTCGAGTCAGAAGAAGTCATGTCCATTCTATGAATCAGTGCTTTCTGATTAACACGAGATCCATTTAAAATGAGTGCCTCAATCACCTTGCTACCAATCCTCTGAATTGTCAATCGAGTTCCATTACACAACCCTATTGACTGATCAACATTTCGAATAAGCATAACAGGCATTCCTATCTTCAATGACAACCTATGAGGAGGCAACCCAGAACATTTGATGATGTTGAGGAATTCAGGTGTATAAATATCATCAAATGAATCATTCTCATAGGATGACAATGCAATTGAATCAGAGCTAAAAAAGTCCACTTGTTCCCTAAGGAAAATAGAACAAATATAGTGATTTATTCGATTGACAACATCAATTATAGGAGAGAGAATAGCTCTAGATGTAAAAAAACAGAGAGAATCTCTCCACCTTTCCTTAATGTCATGAAAAATATCATCAACCATCACCTTGATCGGATCAATATAATTTGTAATCAAAAACTCATCTGGCATCTTAACATCAACATAACCATCACGAGGCTGGTTGATTTACCTTCACCTACATCAAGTAACCATTTGGAAAATTCTTCTAAATCTTCTTGATCTTGGTGTCTAACAGCCTGCAACCTTAGATTTTTAGTAAGAGTAAACACCTTGCAATATTGCCATAAATATGAACGATTAATGGTTGCATTTACCACATCAGCCCTATCCCCTCTAGTGACAATTGGTAAGATTTACCTGAAGTTACCACCCATAATGACACACTTCCCTCCAAATGGCAAAAATTGATTCCTGTCAGAATCAATCCTCATTAAATCTCTAAAGATCTATCCACAGCTTCGATACAAAATTGATGAATCATAGGTGCTTTATCCCAAATTTTAAGTTTGGCCTTACGAATCAACATAGCCAAAGGTGAATTTTGTTTAATGCTACAAGTAGAATCTTCATTAATAACAATGGGAATAGAAAATCTAGAATGAGCTATTCGGCCATTTGGAAGCAATGTCGATGCAATGCCACTAGAAGCAACACTCAAAACTATTTCACTTAAGATTTCAAAAAGTGCTCAAACAATTCCACAAATATGTTTTCCTAGTACCTCTAAAATCATAAACAAAAAAAAAATTGAATTTGTGTTGGACATACTTTCTATAAGACGACGAAAAATACAATGCTATTCTGCCGTCAACTTAGAAATTAATTCAGTGGCCTGTACAAAAAGAGAATCCCTATCAACATTCAATTCCTCCAATATCAAAGAGTTGAATAAGTAAGAGGGTTCACTATCAGAAGGAACTGGAAACTCAGGGTAATCATGTAATGATTTGCCATTGTTCCTCAGGAAATTGTTGATAACTTTCAATGCATCATTTTCTTTCTCTAAAGGTGAGAATTTAATGCCTTCAGGAAAAAAAGAAACAAAATCCCATGTTAAAGAATAAACAAAAATCAAGATGCATTTTAGAATAGTAAAAGAAGTTGCCAATAAAATAAAAGGAATACATACTAAACAAGTTTTCATTCACCTTCGGGATGTAGAGCATGTCATTACACATGAAAAATTTTGTTCGATCCCAGACAAAGTTAAGCCTAGACAAAGTTTGAGACAAAAGCATTTGAGGAAAAAACCTACACAAACCCACTGCAAAAACCCAAAGGGCAACCTCCTGGATAGCAGCAGTAAATTCATGATCATCATCTAATAATCCCATTACAAAACATGCTAACCTATAAATAGGATGAACAACATTGTTAACTGTTCGAAGATCTTCATAAGAAGAAGTTCCTTTGATCTTGTTAAGCATAACTCGCATGAAATACAATTCGCCTGTACTAGGATGAACATGAGTCAGTCGACCAATCTTAATTCCTCTCTCACGTGGCTTCCAGAAATGATCTTTTTTGTTGTAAACAAATTTAGAAGGAAATTCAACATATGTCAAATCATATCCATCTATATTATCAGCATTATACTTCATCCAAGAAAGGAACAATGATTGGCCAATAGTTGGGCTTTCCAAAATAGAGCTGAGCTTGGAGAAGTCAGAATAAAAAACTGGTTGCTCATCAGGTAAGTAGAATCTAGTCGTGGTGGCAACTTTATTTTTCCTTCCACACAACAGAGTGAAAATTGGAATGGTTCAATAAATGGTCCACGCTTAATTCTTTCATTGTACCACATCAAGGCTCCCAATAACCACAAGCAAACACTGGATCTCCTTCATCATTATACCCTACACATTAATTTAACTAACACAACATTAGCATAAGTATGTAAAAACAAAGGTATTGCAAGGAAAACATCATAAAAAAGCGCACAACCATCCTGTTCCCACATCAAAAGTTGATATTGTTATCCTGCATGCAATGCTCAGATATATGAGTCCGATCATTGATGACTCGCAATCTTAAAGACTCGCACCATCAGTAAGTATTGAAGTAAAAATAAATACTAAAACAAATAATAAATCCTCTACTAATGAAAAAATTAAGTAAAATTATAACCTTCATAGGATTGAGCTTTATCCACAACAACATTCCTACACAAGAACAAGGGATCAATCAATGGACATAGTCAACAAAATTAGGTAAATTTAAAAGAAAAAAAAAAAGAAACACACACATACAACAAGAAATTAAAGAAAACACAACATTAATTCAGCATGCACGATACAGGAGTCTCGAGTGACACTGGACCCAGATTTAGTGTTATTTGGATGCGCAGACAAAGCTGGAACAGATCCCAACATCAGTAATTTATTCTATCTTTTAGTAGGATGAGCTATAAGAAGAAGACATGTCACTGTATGTAATTAATAACAACACCAATATACGAGAAAACTATTAAAGATTATGCACCTGACAACTTACGATAATCATCCAACTGTTCTCGTCCATGACTAACTTTTCTTTTCCTAAACAAAAAACTTTAACAATCATAAATTTTACCGAATACATGAAACAATATTAACCAACCTGTTACATTAAAAATAAAACTACACAAAGCAAAAATAATAGTACCAACCTTAACTGGAACAAAGGAGTATGATTAAGTGATGTATCCTGTCTCATACCTTCGTGCTCAATATATGGATTGTCCAACATTCCTAACATGCTCGACGAAAAAAAAAAAAAAGAAAAACCAAAATATGTTTCCATATAAAGGAACATCCTATTCTCCACACCAAGAGATATATGCTCTAAAAAAAAAGAGAAGGAAGCATCAAAAAAGGACACACAAAACAAAAAACAAAACAAAAAAGAACTTCCAAACCCGTAGATAAACGCTTGGCAAAATCAAAAGACCATATATTAAATTTAAAGAAACCAATTTCGATACAAGGATAGTTGTAATCTATGTTTGGCCCGAACCAAAAGAATTGAACAAAGGTCCATGAAATCGAAGACACATCTCAGCTAAAATGCCACGATTAGATTAATGACTATAGGGAAATAAAGATGACAAACCTTCCTGAAAGGATTGGCAGTTACCTAGATGTGGAATTAAAGGCACTCCTTCAAGATCTGCTGGTCTGGGTGAGGCCCCATGAAAAAAAAAAAAATCTCAACATTATTCATAATCCACCTTAAAGTATGAAAGAACAGTTCAAACATAAATCATGAAAAATGAATCAAACCCCAAAGAGAAAGATGAATTTGAAGTAAAAAGGTAAGAAACGAAATCGGTGGAACTCATGGTTGGGTTTGTACTTTGCGAATGTGATGATTTTTGTGGACAGCACTAATTAGATTCATTGATAAAGTAAGTCATATAATTATCCTCAGTAATTTTTTTTTTTTTTTTTTGTCTAGAGGACATGGAAAACATGATAAAAGTAAAATGTTACTATCATGTATCACAATTGATTTGACTGCACATAATTCTATTGGCAAGCATAACTTAATGTCAACAAGTGAAACTGACCCAATTGTATTGCTGATAAATATGTCACCGGCATAAAATTAATTTCATAAATAAAGAAACCATGAATTAGTAAATAAATTGATGGCCAAGAAACCAAAAAATCTATGCAAGTAAAAATCCTCTCTAACATACGTATAAAGAATATAAAAAAAACCCTCCCAGCCACAATAAAATCAATTAAGGTTGCATAAAACAATAACAAAAGAAAGCACAAGTGAAATAATTTATGCCCCAATAATTAAAAAAAATAATTGCGCGTCAAGAAATATAATGGAGGACTGCATCGATTACATTGTGAGACTCCCCTTTGATATATGACTCATAAACAATTTACACCAAAAAAAAAGTTTCCATCAAAAAAGAAAGAGTGATTAAAATATTAAACAATAAAGAATAACAGTAAAAAAAACAGGGAAAGAACACACAAATATAAAGGCTTTCATATGATAAATTTAATAAACCTCGACATCTAAATTTCCCACGTGACTCACCAAAAAATAGCGCACAAAATTCGCTGTTGAACTCGCTCACAGAACTCAGTCGGTGAGACAAACTCTGTCTAAGGTCAGACATGTGATCTGCCAAATGTCTCTATCAAGCTCTCATATATATAATGCGCCATCTCTCTTAACGTCGAGCAGAGATAGAGAAACAATGCACCCGTAGCAAGAAGCTATGGAGTTTAGAGATGTTAAAGGCAAATGAAAAGGATACAAAGAGAATGAGGTTACGACAGATGAAGGGAAGACAACGAAAATGCGGCGAGGAGGCAATGGAGACGAAGTCGAAGAGAAAAACAACTAGATAAGAAGTGAAGACAAATAGCCGATACAACGCCATGGAAATAATGGATATTCTGCGCTGGCAATGGCACGAAGGATGAGAGAGGAAGAGGACAAGGAACTATTACGAGGGCTGGAATGAACTGGAAGGCAAGAGAGAAGATGACATTTTT